GCTACTACGCAACACATTCTACCACCAGCCAAAACGCAACCCGTAACCATTTCGTCAAGTGAGTATAGCTTTAATTATATTATAAAACTAAAATTTCAACATCGCAACCGTGTACATTCTAAAGTTCATTATACTTTTCCGAAGTTGGGACTACCACCATGACTGGAAAATCGCATCTGAATGCTACTGTCGTTCCGGGCAAGACTGACGGTACGACACAGCGCGTCATACCTCCGGCCAATACTCAATCTCCCATTGGCTCTGATCCACCAAGTGAGAACAGCAATTATTATAAAATTGAATTGTGTACATTATAAAGTTAATTATACATGTCCGAAGTAGCGTCTGTAACTTTGACTGAAACAACGTATCCGACTGCTATAACGCAACGCATTTTACCGCCGGTCAAAACACAACCAATTACAAATTCGTCAAGTGAGTAGAGCTATAATTATTTTATAAAACTAAATTCTCAACATCGCAACCGTGTACATTCTAAAGTTCATTATACTTTTCCGAAGTAGGGTCTACCACCATGACTGGAATATCGCATCTGAATGCTACTGTCGTTCCAGGCAAGACTGACGGTACGACACAGCGCATTCTACCGCCGGCCAATACTCAATCTCCCATTCGCACTGATCCACCAAGTTAGTACAGCAATTATTATAAAATTGAATCGTGTACATTATAAAGTTAATTATACATTTCCGAAATAGCGTCTGTCACTTTGACCGAAACAACGTATCCGACTGCTATGAAGCAACACATTCTACCACCAGCCAAAACACAACCCGTAACCATTTCGTCAAGTGAGTATAGCTTTAATTATATTATAAAACTAAATTCTCAACATCGCAATCGTGTACATTATAAAGTTCATTATACTTTTTCGAAGTAGGGTCTACCACTATGACTGGAATATCGCATCTGAATGCCACAGTCGGTCCGAGCTCGACCGGCAGTAATACGCAACGCATTCTACTGCCGGCCAATTCAAAAACTCCCGTTAGCACTGATCCGCCAAGTGAGTACAGCAATTATTATAAAATTAAATCGTTTGTATATTATAAAGTTAATTATTCGTTTTCACCGACTTCGAACCTATTAAAATACTATCTACACATTTTTTTTTTTTTTATTGAGTAGGTAAGGCTTCAACTATTAAGGTGATTAGCTTCTATTAATTACACAATATTGTTCTTAAGACTGTGGATATACATTATTATTGTGATTTACAGCAGGGGAAGTTAGTGAGACATGTTCTTTTGAAGTTGTTTTGGTATGCCTATATTAATAAAAAAATTGTGTATATTTTTGGAGTTTTTTTCGCCGTAAAAATAATGACAATCT